TGGCTGTGGCTAAAGAGCCAGGATCGACGGCACTTGAAGGATTTGCATAACAGCTCGACCCTGAAGCAGAGCATTGTAGGCGGTGCATAGCAATGCCACCAATCCTCAGTGCAAGAGGGGACCCTGGAAAGACAACAAAGCTCCCTGAAAAAAAAAAAACACACTTAATGACATGCGTACTGAACTGAAGGCCACTCGCCACACGGCAACCTAGGTAACCATATTCCTGAGAGATCGTGTACGGGGTCTAAACGTCCTGGAGGTCTGGTGGAAAGGAAGGAGGCCAAAAGTGTTCAAAATCTCAAATTCCAGCTCCGGCGTGCGCGACCGACAAAGTGACGACGAGCGCTTAAGTCTGCAGAAAGCATCAGCACTTTACATCGCCTGATGAGCCTGGAAACAGCCTAAGCAAGGGAGGACCATTGGAGTCGATGTGTTGAAAGCAGGTACGTCGACAGGACGTCTCCCGTCGATATCACAAGCAAGAGATAGGTGTCTTCGTTGGCACCTGCCCTATCTCTGCTCCAGGCGCCCCCTGCTGACATGCAAAAGCAAAAGTTCAAGTTCCAATCCAACAGGATCCCTGTGATTCGAAGGGTTACACACACACACGCGCCTCCCTCAGGGGGAGGCAAGTTGCGGAGCTCTGAGGCCCTACTGACATGTAGAAAGAAAAAGAAAAAGAAACAAGGCAAGCTCAATTCCAAAAGGATCCCTGGGATTCCAAGGGGTACACACAGACGCCTCCCCAAAGGGAGGCAAAAAACTAAGTGACGAACAAATGTGCATTTGTGCGCGTAGCATGGACAAAAAGATGAAGACATGAGAGAACCAAATGCACAGAGACAAACGGTGAGCCAACCCTCATTATCAGAACCTGGGTGACCTGAAGCCTAAGTGCACAGTAGATGTGTGCGTACAGACTAAGGCCCGAACCGATGTGCGCGCAAGAGAAAGAAAGCAGTGAGATGACAGGACATGAAGCAAGGAAAGACATGAAACGAAAGGAGGAAAGAAAGTGTGTCAAAAGGGGAAACGATGAAAAAGGAAACCAATGGAGGGGCCGGGAACCAATGAAGCCAGACCTCATTACAACGACCTAGGAAGACTCGCCCCGTTTAAATGTACATGCGGTGTATGCACCTAAGGTTACGAATGAACCTAAAAGTGCTTTGACCGCTCTGGTCACCTTGTGCCATGCCAAAGTGGCGGGCGACTTGAGACCGCTGCGGTCACCTAATGGCTTGTCCGAAGACTGCCTTCTTGAAACGCAATAATCCATCAAGCCTTGGCGAATAACTTTGCCATAAGCCACCTACGCTCGCTGCGAGCTGCTCTGTATCCGGGCAGGGGATACGTTCGACAAACAGGGGCCACTCGTCGGGGTCACCCTGGGCTCTCACTGAGGAGAGGCACACTGAAGGCCACTCGCCACACGGCAACCTAGGTAACCATATTCCTGAGAGATCGTGTACGGGGTCTAAACGTCCTGGAGGTCTGGTGGAAAGGAAGGAGGCCAAAAGTGTTCAAAATCTCAAATTCCAGCTCCGGCGCGCGCGACCGACAAAGTGACGACGAGCGCTTAAGTCTGCAGAAAGCATCAGCACTTTACATCGCCTGATGAGCCTGGAAACAGCCTAAGCAAGGGAGGACCATTGGAGTCGATGTGTTGAAAGCAGGTACGTCGACAGGCACAAGCAAGAGATAGGTGTCTTCGTTGGCACCTGCCCTATCTCTGCTCCAGGTGCCCCCTGCTGACATGCAAAAGAAAAAGTTCAAGTTCCAACCCAAAAGGATCCCTGTGATTCGAAGGGTTACACACACACGACTTCAACGGTGGGGAAACAAGATCTCCTATTCATTGCTAATGGCATTTTCTGAAACAGATTTGATTCAAGCTGTCACCCCTTGAAAGAAAGAAAGAAAGAAAGAAGGAAGGAAAGAAATAGAGAGAGAGATACAGAGATTGCCCAGGCACTCTCAAGACATTTTCGCGGCATTGCGGGCCGCTTTTCCTCGAATGGATGACATGCTCCGCGCGCGAGAATACCACGAGGAGTTGCTGAGCTACCGGAACAGACACTCGGCGAGAACCATGCATAGAAATCCACTGTCCATCAAAAAGTGTTCCATTAATTAACGAGCAAGGGATTGAAGACGGTTCAAGTTTCCTAACGCACCGGCTGGAATTCGGGCCCTGTTTCGGAGAAACCAGTTCCACTGCTCACGTCTCCTGTTTATTCGGAGACGATGTGTGGTTTTTAGGTCTGATTATGCCCTTGTTACTAGTAGCGATGCACTTATTACTAGTTACTAGTCGAGTTGGCATCACCTAGTTCCACGTGTCATGTCCACTGTTATTTTTCATAGTTTGTTTTGTGCTTTTTTCGTGTTCTTGAAGAATAACGAACGTGGACGTGGACTGTTGTTTTTGTGGTTTGTTGAACTGTTGGATTGCTACATCGGTGCATGTCTCAACCCGTCGCAGCGGTGGGTCCTTATTCTTCACCACATTGCGGGACAGTGTGTTTAGGTCTACAACAGCGCCGAAACAGCATTTCATGGAATACGCACGCAAGTTGAGGGTAAAAAGACCCGGCTTCGCTCGCACGCATGCACACACACTTATGGAAATGCGTACTGATTCGAATGCCGCTCGCCACACGGCAACCTAAGAAACCAGATCCTGAAAAGACAAGAGGGGCCTGAGTACTGAGCGCCTGTAGTTAAAGGCCGGAAGTCAAACTCCACGATGCGACGAGCCGACAAGATGACGACGTCCGCTCATGACTGCCGAGCTCAGTAGCACTTTACTGGAGAGTGGAGTCACAGCTCTGCCAACTAAGTTGTTAAAAAAAACGCGTGTTTTGTAAACGCCAGGCCCAAACAACACGCAGCCAGAATTTGTAAACGCGACCATTAAAAAACGCAAGGGCTTGTTAAAGGATTTGAAGGTGGAGATTTCAAGTTATCAATGGTGTAGATGCTTTTTCAAGAAGAGTGAAATTGCATGTGAGTAACCAGACAAAAGGTCGGTGATGAAGTTCCCAGGGTTTGTGAAACATGCATGGGCGACAGAGGTGAAGAACTAGGACCAGAAGCGATGACATTTACTGAGCGCTTCTGGGCTCGAGCACAGTTGTGATTTCCTTAGTTGACTGATGTCATCGATGATTCCTCACCACTTGTTGCCGTTACCGCTTCGTCCAGTGGCAAAGGTAGGCCTCTTGGTGGGCCACTTTGTTCTTGGTGTGCCACAGCTGAATGAGTCCGGTACAGACGGTGCCAGTGGCCGCCGTGGAAGGCCTCGCAAAGGAGAATCAGTTCAGACGAAGGCTTCTGGATGCTTCGGGGGTCAAGCTCGAAAGGCCCCGTTGATGAAAAAGTTGCATGAGCATGTGGGAGCTACTGCAGTGTTTGTTGTTTTGCCCATGCGTTTTGGGCCTTGTGAGAAATGCATTTGCAGATTTTTGGTCAGAGTGGTCGAAGGCTGAAAGCAATTGCCGATTCCTATTCCTGGTCATACATTAATATGGACGGTATATGAATAAATCCGCCATATGAATATCTTCCAATTTCTCTCGCATACCCTTTATAAGTATATGTCCTGTTGGTGGTATCCTCTATTCACACGGTCCCTTCTTCCTCCATTTTTGGCGACAGAGAATGGACTGATGCATTTTTGTGTCTGTGGCAAACGCATTTGGAAGAATTTGCCAGTGCGTGTGGCAGATGCGTTTTTAGGAACCTGTGGGATGCGTGTGGGAAATCTGTTTTTGAGTGGCTGAAGGCCGAAAGAGTTTCCTTCTCCTGGTCATATGTTAATATTGAAGGTATATGAATAAGTTCCTGATATGAATATCAATTTCTCTCGCATACTCTTTATGAGTATATGTCCTGATGGTTGGATCCTCTATTCATACGGTCCCTTCTTCCTGTTTTTACACCAGAAAATTCGAGCCACTTGTGCAGCGCGCCGAATTTTGGAGTAGCCTTTTCTGTGATATGGCCAGGCTGAAGACCAGATCAAGCTGATGCAGCGCGATCCGAACGTGAAAGCAATTCCAAAAGCTCACCTCATCCGTGCTGTGAAGGAGATTCTTCGTGACCTTGTGGACCATGAGAATAACATTATCGACCCCAATGTGCCAGATGCGGAGCCGAAGCCACATCTCAAAGTGTCAAAGGGAGCCTTGGATGTTCTTCGCAATGCTGTGGAGGCTGGTTCTTGGACAAGTCCTCACACCCCAGATGCAAATTATTTGCGGCCAGAAAAGCATTTAGAGCTGGTTCCTGCAAATGCGTTTTCTATTGTTGAAAAAAGCATTTAGAGCTGGTTCCTGCAGATGCGTTTTCTATTGTTGAGAAAAAGCATTTAAAGCTGGTTGCAGAAGCTGTCAGGCCCATGGCACGCAGCTATTGGTCCGTGCGAACCTCATGTCCCGGCATGCCAAGCGAACGACCATTAAGGCTGATGACATCAGGGTCTTGGAGCAGCTGGAGGCTGCTGAGCAAAGCGGATGCACTGTCCATGCTGTTTCAGAGCCGAACTCGCAGCGGAAGCGCAGTGCAGATGGTGATGGTGTTCCTAAGAGTGCCCCACCACCTAAGAGGGTGAGAGGGAAGAAGGCAGCCTGAGGGGCATGTTGTTTTGGGGCGATCTTTCTTGACGGCCATCTTTTGTAGGGTAGTCAAAGCGCTTCTCGCTTTGTGGCACTTTTGTTCAGATGACCGTTGCTCCGCAGAGGTGGCGGTGCGCCAACGGATTGCGTAATCACAGTCGACGAGTGATGAAATGCATGCGCTCGGTTTTCTGCTACTTTGCGAGCTGTCAGCAGAAGTGCTTGAAAGCAACGAATGCTTTTTGGGAAGATTGTGAATTGCATGTGGAGATTGCTGTCTGCGCAGCATTGCTGCATATGTCCAACCACCGCAATGAACGCGCTTTCTGTGACTTTTTTGTCCAAGTCTCACTGCTCCCTAGTAGCAGGCCAAAGGCCATGGGAAGGAAGGCCCGGAATGAAGGGCCTAAGCGTTGCGACCATCCATTTGTGAAAGGTGGCGCTCCAGATGAGGCAAAGCAGAGCGTCCTCGACCGCTTGATTCAGACCTATGGGGAGTGCACAACAGTGCTTGTGCCTGAGACTGGGCCTGTTCAAGATGTCACGAAGAACTTCGTAGTTGTGCGACGCGCATACAAGAAGAAGAAAGCTTCCTTCGAGGGGGAGGAGGGAGTGACTTCGCTGTGGGTCTGCAAGACATGCCTGTGGCACGAGAAATGCCCCTCGCACAACCGCGCTTTGGCGCACAAGCTCGGATTCATGACCCACCAAGCGTGGTTGGATTCTGGTCCTCTCAGACCTCGACGAGAACCATGTGCTTTGGCTGAAAATGTGAAGAAGCAATTGCGCGAAATCACTCGCGCCACTCATGGAATTGCAAGGGTGAAGGCTTGTGAGCAGTTGCTTCCACAAGAGACCGTAGCTTCTTTAGCTATGACTGGGGTGACCTTGGCCAAAACTTACTGCTCCTTCCAGATGTGGGATAGTTTGGAGGAAGCAGAGCCAGGAGGGCAGCCTCTGAATTTGGAACGGGCCAAATTGCTCGAAGCCCTGGAGATTGTTGAAACTCAGTCTTCTTTCTCACGAGCAAATCATCCTCGCCGGAAGGAGCTTTTAGCGTATGTTTCCAGTGGCGCTTACAAAGGTGCGAAGATTGAAGTTGAAACTTGAAATGCTTTTTTTCAATCCGTGGAAAACGCATTTGGGTGTTGGAATTATTGTGGATCACATAGGAGCTTATATGCGTTTATTTTTCCTGCGAAAAAGCATTGGGGGTTTGGCCTTGCCTTCTTTCTTTGCAGGCGCGAACCGGCAAGAAGTGGCCAAGATTTTGAAGACGCTATACCACCAGTGCTGTGACCATGCCCTTGCTATGGCACGGAATTCCTTGTGCACATTGACCTTTGATGGCATGTTCAACCAGGGCTACAACATGACCAACTTTTGGGCTGTGAATGCTGGGGGCAGGCACCACTTGCGCACAAAGGACTTTTCGTGGAAAGTGCAAGATGCTGCGACCCTAGCAAATGAAGTAGCTGGCCTTGCCAATAGCTTGGGCGTGGAGATGATTGCCTGCGTATGCACCGACAGGCCGAGAGTGATGAGAGCTGCGCGCAGGGGCTTCCTCAAGAGTCCAGGCGGGGAGCTTCTTAGTCCTCTGTACGGGTATTTAGGGCAATCAAAAGCATAGGACAGTGGTTCCTGCAGATGCGTTTTTCTCATGGCCAAAAAAGCATTTGAGGCTTGAGGCTTTGAACCCTTTCTACAATATGTTTTCTTGTGGCAGGAACTTCGCGGATCACCTGGTGCTTTTGCTTGGAGCATGGTGGCCACACTTTGGCCAAAAAGCTGCTGAAAGTTTTCCCATGGATGCATAAAGCTTCGAAGGATTTGAAGAAAATGCTGGCGTTTCAGTCTCGCAAGAAGAGGCTTCGCTGCTTTCTCCGCGACCGAATCGCTCGGTCCAGCAAGCCCAGGAAGATTCACTTGAAAGTGCCTCGTTCTACACGTTTCTGCTCTATGCAAGCCAGCGGCGTGGCCTTCATGTGGAACCTTGAGGACATCAAGTCCGCAGTTGCTCCAGGTGTGCAGCGTATAAAAGATTGCCCCACATCAAAAAACAATAGTGTAATGATTGTTCTCTGGGGCCGTCTACGTTTGGAAATGCATGTGGCCCGATAAAGCCAGATGCGTTTCTCCAGGACGATTATAATTGCACCTGTACCTTTTTTGGAGAATCTTCCTGTTAGGCGGGCGGCCGACGGAGGCCTTCAAGAGCATGAAAGCTGGTGAGGGCGGTGACGAGTTTGTCCGCATGATCCACGACCGGAACCTGACTAATACCATTGGTCGATTGACGCTATTCCTGCAGCCCCTCACCACATTTGTTCGAATGGCAGGGCGAGGTGTCATGTCTGAGGCGGTGATGCTTTGGTACAACATGGAGACCCAGATGGACTTTCTCATTGGAAAGTTTGACTTTGTGCGCCGGGGTGAGGCGAACGAAGCTTTGACAGAAAGGCGCCACCTGTGGCGTCAGTGGACAGAGCACTACTGTGATGGAGGCCTAGCCCCTGGACAAAAAGAAGACAAAGCGAAAGACCCGGGCTTCCTTCAGGATGCTCACTATTGTGCCTTTTTGCTTGACCCACGCATGTATCAGCTAGCGAGGCAGCATGCTCGTACTGCACCTTCTCTTCGCAAGGGCCTTCCTCGAGCCAATCTCCATGAGGTGCGTGTCGCCTGTGCAGATCGCACGGTTCCCTACTTGCATACCTTCTTTGCAAACAATGCCTACGCCTTGGGGCGTGCAATTGCAGAGTGGCAGGACAGCGGTGAAACCAGAAATCAGCCTGGTTCTCCTATATGCGTTTTTTCTTTGATACAAAAAGCAAATGAAGTTAGTTGCTCCATATGCATTTTTTCACGGCTAAAAAAGCATTCGAAGTGTGTGCCTGCAGATGCGTTTTTTAGATGGTAAAAAAAGCGTTGGAACAGATGACGCTGCGAGCATCCAGGACTTTGAGGGACGCAAAGGGGTCTTTGCAAATGTCGACTTCCGAGTGCAGCCTGATGACGACATGCAATCCTGGTGGCGGCGAACCAAATCGACTTGGCTGTCAGAGGTTGCGCTCCACGTCGCGGCCATGTGCCCGACCAACCAAGCTGCTGAACATGGGTGGGCTCACTTGTGCCGAGTCACAACGCCAGTGCGAAATAGATTGGCAATGGATACGCGCTCGATGCTCGCAACAGTGCAGCATCATGCCCACCACGTGCATCCTTATGCGCAAAACCAGGCTCCTGCTCAGAGCCAGAAGAAGCGCAAAAGCTGGGTACCACCTTTGCTCCGCTTTGATGTGAAGCTGACAATCGCCGAGCTGGGGCCTGGAAAGCTGCAATCGCCTCTTGAACCCGATGATGTGGACTCCATGGACAGTCACTCCAGCTCGTCAACCTCTGAGGAGGACTCCTCGGACGAGTCTCAGGGTTCGGAAGGCGACATGCCGCCTTGTGTGCCTTGCGATCCTTTTGTCCAAGTTTCCGAAGAGGACTTGGAGCACAACCTTCGCAGTGAGATGTGAGAAATGAGAGACATGTTCAATGCCGTGCTCTGGGGAATGGAGAGAAGACATTTGATCTATCTATATATATATATATGTATATGTATTTATACTTATATACTATCTACATATACTAGATACATATATGTATATCGTCTATATATATATATACACACCACACAAGTAGATGCGTTTTGCAGCATGACCGAAATGCATGTGGATTGCCACCAACCAAAAGCAGTGAAAACACGCACAAAAAACGCCCCAAAAAAACGCTACTCCAGCGCACACCAAAAAACGCACAAAACGTAAAAAAAACGCACCGTTCGAAAACGCGTGTTTTCTTACCACTTAGTCTGCCAACAGTTTCAAAGAGCAGGTACGCGCAGCTGATCAGGCTGCATATCCTGAGGTCACCATGGAGAGCTTTGTTGGGCACAGCTCTATGGGCCTCGTGCGCCCCCCCTGCTGAAAAATCAAAAGAAACAATCCAACAGGAACCTTGTGACTCCAAAGGTTACACACACACGCCCCCCCCGAGGGGAGGCAAAGAAAATTGAGGCTAGGACGGTTGTGAAAGTGCGCGCGCAGCAAAGACAAAGGGATGAAAACATGAGAAGGAGGACAGGACGGGACAAAGGTGTGTGTGGTCGCAATGAAAAGGAAACCAAGCGCACAGGGACAACTGATGAACCCCACCTCATTGTCAAAACCTGGCCGACCTGAAACCTGTGCGGAAAGTGTATGTAGATGTGCGCGTACACACCAAGGCCAGGGCCGATGTGTGCGCAAACGAAAGAAAGGATGAAATGACAAAACATGAAGGCAGAAGGACATGAAAAAAAACGAGGAAAACAAATGTGTGCGAAGGGGACAGGATGAAAAGGGAAAACAAATGGAGGGGGCGAAAACCAATGAACCGAAACCTCATTAGAAGGCCCAGGCAAACCTCGCAAAAATGTACGTGCTGTGTGTGCACCTGAGGTGGCGACAGGTTCCAATGAACCTTCAAATTGCTTTGACCGCTATGGTCACCTTGTGCCGTGAACGGTGTGGTCGCCTAAAGGCGTGCCAAAATGGCTGCCAGCTTGAAATGCAATAATCCGTCAGGTCTTGGCAAATAACTTTGGCATAAGCCTCCTACGCTCGCTGCGAGCTGCTCTGTATCCGGGCAGGGGATACGTTCGACAAACCCCCGTTCAACGGGTCCACAGGGGGGCCACTCTGCGGGGTCACCCTGGGCTCTCACGAGGAGAGACACACTTATGGACATGTGTATTGACTCGACTGCTGCTCGCCACACGGCACCCTGAGAAACCAGATCCTGAAAGGACAAGAGGGGCCTGAGTACCTGTAGTTAAAGGCCGGAAGTCAAACTCCACGATGCGACGAACCGGCAAGATGACGACGTCCGCTCATGACTGCCGAGCTCAGTAGCACTTTAGTGGAGAGTGGAGTCACAGCTCTGCCAACAGTTTCAAAGAGCAGGTACGCGCAGCTGATCAGGCTGCATATCCTGAGGTCACCATAGAGAGCTTAGTTGGGCACAGCTCTATGGGCCTCCTGTGCCCCCCCTGCTGAAAAATCAAAAGAAACAATCCAACAGGAACCTTGTGACTCCAAAGGTTACACACACACACACGACTCTTGCGGACCATCCAACATCGCCTCATCACCCCCGGTGTTGCACTGGGTATGCAAGGTGGGGTGAAAATGAAACAAGGATCTATGGCGAAGCAAAGATGTGAAAAAAATGGTGCCACAGAGAGAACTAACCACAACTAGCCACCAGAAGCAATCTGGGCAGTGAAAATCACACTGCATCCGAGTTCACAACAATGTCTTAAAACGTGTTGGTGCGCAGATGTTCCTAGAAAAATTTAGGAGTCCAAGTAAACACATCTACTAGACTTCCAGAACAAAATATTTCAAAGGTTCTGGAAACGAAAACCGATGTTCCTCGCGAGCAAAAGTCTCAACAACACGAAACAAAAAGAAACCAAGTTTTCTAGACTCAACTCTCTCATGAAGTTGTTCTGTGTTTGGCCAAAAAGGCTACAGAAATGTTTCTGTGGAAGTGCAGTTGGCAAGCGCACTCTCCCACTGGAAGTGGCAGTATTCAGGAATTGAACTGTTAAGGTTCTCAACAAAGTCCACCATGAACAGGGCGGGGCTCGAATTGAAGCCGGAGAGTCCGCCATGGTTGAGCCCGTAGACAATGTGTTACAGTTACAGATGTTACAGACAGAAGGGCGTCAAATGTGGCAACAAACTGCAGCCATCAAATGCATTCAATGAAATGACAACTTTGGGCGATGTCTTCTGAGTGGATCATGCAGATCAAATAATGTTTCACCTGACTAGTCTCTCTAGCCGCGCGGATGTGGGGTGTTTTTCATGGTTTTCTTGAGGTCGAGAGTCTGGCGGCTCAGAGGTTCCAGTGGAAGATCTGCAAAATTCCATCAAAGATGATATGGCTGAAGCAAGAAACCGTGGAGCGCTCTCCAAGGAGGACTGGTCTCCGGGGTGATTACTGTAAGAGCATCTACAACGAGGTCGTGCGTGGGAGTGTTTTACGTCACCTCCAGGTTTGTGTCTCAAGAACGTTTTCACACCATTCCACACCTGCAATATCCTTCAATAATAACAATAAAAAGTATATAATACATAATAATGCCGGTGATGCTGGTGTTCCAGACATGTGATCCTGACCTTGAGGGTGCTGAGCATATCCTCATGAAGATGATGATGCTACAGCGGATGAGCGCATCAGCATCGGATCCCGCGAATAGCGTTGGATGCGCTGCAGTGGTCGTTTTGATCACGCCATCAAACATAATTTGCGCCAATGCAGGCCGCTCCTTCCCGCTGGGTCAGTGGTCAACTGTGAGACTCGAGATTGAAGACCAATTGACAGTTGAGGTATGCCCACGGAAGCAGGGAGATGCATCTATCTCAATCTCTATACATACCACAAGTGTCAAGATTGTGTGAGACAGTATGACTCAGTATGAGTTGTTTTCTGTTGACCAATCATGGTATGTTGTTTCTTCAGCCATCGGCGGCCATCGGCTTTCCTTGAGTTCATGCTCATTACCAACCCATAGAGATCCCCAGACAGCGAAAGGATCTCACAAGACATATCCTATCAGGAGATTCATCGGGGAAGCCGTGTTCCATATAAATTGGATTGAGAAACATTTGACGCCTAAGATGAGCTCGGATCATTTGACAAGCTGCGGCAGGTGACTCTCGAGCTGTCCTTTGCCGGGGGGGGCCGCCCCGTCGCCTTGTCCATCGACCACAAGCCCAACTTGGACTCCGACGCCCAAGTGGAAGCGGAGTCGATAGCTGAACTGGGAACGATAAGATCGGAAACAAAGAACCAAAAGGGAAACATGTTGGGACTGCGTAATGGGAACGAGTTCGGAACTACCATGTATGAGCGCTATCCTGTGGGTTGAATGCACAGAATATGGCTTTGAGAGGGTATCTGTACTTGCCGTTCATCTGCCACGTACACTGCGGTTTGGAAGCTGGACCCTCCCGTCCCGAGCGAAGGTGTGGATTACAATTCGTGGTTAGCTATTGGCCGTCGCTGGGTCGAGTGGGTTGTTCCTGTTTTTGGCAGATGACATTGTCCGGCAGTCTCTGAGGAGTCCCGGCGAATCGAAGCAGCGGGCGGCACAGTGCAGGCGGTGCGAAGGGGGGACTTTTACCACCTACCGGGTGAATGGAGACTCGTCATTTCTCGTCATTGGGTAGATGAGCTGGGGCTTTCGGAGAGATACTGCGACTCTTTGGCCAGGACCCAGTCCCTGGCATTTTTCGGAGAAGCTTTCGAGTTGAAATGTGGCACCTTGATGTCCCTCGCAGAAACACAGATGTAGTGGACATTAGTGGACCATTTTCTGCGGCCTGCAATCATCATGGTCACTGATTCGAGTTTCCTGTTGTGGTACATACCTTCACAGCGCACAGAGACCACAGAGATATATACTTTCACCATGCGGCTTGGTATTTGCAGGGTATTGGGCGGCATTTTGTTTAAGTTACTTTGGTGATATGTACTGTATGAGGGCTGTAAGACAATGCGGGAATTCTCTACTCTAGGCCTAGTTGGCGCTGTGACGTGTCCTTACGGAACTAAATCTTGGTTTCTGAGTGTTGCAGACTGACTGTTTGTGGAAAACCCCCATCGCTCTAAACTAGCCCCCATTCACCAACTCCAAAAGGTCCAGATTGAGGTTGTCTACCCAATGAATGATTTATTCATCAATTTGTGGCAATAGACCCGTGAATTGCGATTGTTGAGTCAGTGGCAATCATTTCTATGCTGCGTTGGGTTCGTCGTGGCTGCGGGACTCACAAGTTCACCGTCTGGGCGGGTCAGCTTTCCGAGCCCAGGAAACCTGAGCCTGTCTCGGGCCATAGGCAAGATGATGGGCCATAGATATGGAGGGACATATTCTGGAAATGACTGTTTAGGATGAAAGTGCTGACAATCCTGGACATACACAGGCGCAGAATCCTACACAGGCGCAAGTAAAATACTGCAGGAGCGGATTAAACGTGGCATGGCTTTGGCATGATTTCGGCAAGGGCATCTTCAATTCTTCAATCTTTAATTGATTGAGAAATAAATTGGCCGCATCACGACCAGAAGGATACTCAGCCATCAATGTGATCATTGTTCTTCTGTAGGAGTGTTTTTTTTGCCATTTTACGAACGGAAATTGCAAGATCATACAGATTTCAAGCTGCAGCAATCACAACCAGAAGAAATTGATAGATGAGGGACTCAAGTGTATCAGAAGTGGCATAGCACCTGAGCAGGAGGTGCCAGCGCAGGTGTTCATAAGGGTGTTCCCTTCCGAACACATGGGCCAGTACTGCTGACTGTTGAAGAATTGGACTTGAAGTCTTGAAATTTGATTCAATCAAGACCGACCGGCATCTCGAAAGAGTGACAGGTGACTTGCAGTACAAGTCGCAGCCGCCGCTTGGATTATTGTGAGTCG